TAGTAGGCCCTTAGGTGCTTTAGGCAGCGTATATAGGCGCTATAGCTAAATATTTATTAGCTTATAGGCAGCTTTTTTAGCTAGTTAGCCTATAACTTGCTGTTAGAGCGCCTAGTCTAGTAGAGGTGCCTCTTTATTAGCGCTAACTTAGAGCTAAATTTCTAAGCTAAGTAGAAATTTATCTTTATAGAAGCGCACGTTGCGTACTATTTAAAAGCAGCAGCTGCTTTCTATCTAGACGCAGTACTAATTTAAAGCTCTATAGCTAAGTAGTATACAGCGCTTAGCCTTAGAATTAAGCTTCTTGCGCCTACTATCTAGAGTAGTTGCGTAGCCTAAGCAGCTAATAACACGTAGATACGCAACGCTAGGTTTTTCCTTATAGAGTGCCTTAAATAGTGTAATAAAATTTAGTGTGCGTGTTAGAGACCTGTTATAGAGGTAGGTAGCAGTTTAAATTAGCTCTAGCTAGAGAGTGTTAGCAAGAGTGCCTGTGTAAAGAAGAGCGCGCGTAATATCCTAGTTAGTGCAGTTAATTTGTTTAGCTAGGCTGTTCTACTCTAGGTTATAGAGTACTGTAGTTTTGTAAACCTAGCCCTCTACTGTAGCTATAGCTTTAAGCTTGTTATTAATAAATTCGCTACTATTATTAGTGTAAAAGAAGCGCATAGCAGCTTTATACTATTACTAAACTTTAGTAAAGAAGGCTACTATTACAGCAATAGTATTGCTCTTGTACTTAAGAATAGCGACTATCTTCTAGCGTGTGTAGTTATCTAGAAATAAGATGTAGTAGCATTTCTCTTAGTGTAAAAGTAGGTAAGAGCTGCTAAGGTTGCTGTAGATTTACTTAAAAGGCGTCTTAGAGCGTTTATAAGGCGTCTAAAAGTTGTAATAAGCTTACTTGCCTAGTTAGTAGAGCTTACAGTTTCTAAGCAGGTAGTTACTAATAGTAACTAGCTCTATTCTCTTTGTAGCGTTCTTTATTACTCTAAGGTAGTTACTAGATAGGTAGTCTATTCGCTTGTGCTAAATTTCGCTAGTAACGTAGGCAGAAAGAATAGTGTAGTAGGCAGTAAGCAAGAGAAGCTAGAAGAAGTCTATTGCTATAGTTAGGCGGTAAAGGTTATCCTTACTAGAGCTTACGCCTATAGCTACTAAGAGCCTAGTGCTGCGTCTAATAATTTAGATTTCTCTAGCGTTAAAGATTATACAAAGGCCTGCAGTAGTAGTAAGCCTCTTTGTAGATAGTAAGTTAAAAGAGGCGTATAGAGCGTAAATTACATTATAGACTGTAAACGAGCGCTCTATACTAGCTATGTTAATTTAAATCTTAACTAATCTACTATATCTATAGAGAAGAAGACCGCTAATGCCTTTTAGGTATACTAGGTTAGCTATTTTGTACAGCGCTGTAAAGGCGCTCTTGTTCTACGCGATATAGCAAATAGCGCCTAAGTTAATATACTAATTAGAGTTCTTAGCTGCTAACTTTAGTAGGTTATTAGCGTTTAGAATTTCGGCTGTTAGCGCTAAATCTGCGTATTTAAGCTTAGTAACGCAGGTGTTAATAACTACTACGTTAAAATTACCTAGTTCTAGTCTTAGCTGCTTACTACTGCTGCGCCTACTATAGCGGCTGTTGCGATTGCCTCTATTACTGTTAAATTTGCGCTTAGTGCGCAGTTTAGAGTAAAGTATCTAGCAGGTTTCGCTAGTGTAATTAGTTTTGTTTAGGCAGTAAGAGCAGTGTTAGCCTATCTAGGCGCTACTAGCGGCAGCAACTTTAAGAGCGTTAGCGGCGCTAGTGCGAAGCTAGGTTTTAACTTTAACTACGCCCTGCGCTAGAGTGCGTAGTTTAATTACTTACTAAAGGTCGCTTATAATAATATCTAGCTAGGCAGCTACTTAGGTTTGTACCTAAAGTTTAAATAAGTTGCTAAGATTGTTAAGAAAGTATAAGTTTACTAGCTAAGGTAGTAGCTTATAGGCCTAGTTTATGCAAGATAGCGCTGCGTTAGTTTTAGCAAGTAAATTAGCGAAGTTAGAGACGCTCTTAGAGAACAAGAGAGTAGTGTCTAGAAAGTTATTCTAGAGCGCCTAAACTTTAGAGGTACTAGAGCAACTATACGCTGCCTTTAGCGTTATTTAGGTTTCTACCGCTGTAAGCTTCTTGCTGTTAGACAAGGTTATTATAACGTCTATAGGCCTCTTCTTAATATTTAGTGTTATAACACTCTTTATCTAGAAGTCTCTTATTACCTATTTGTTATAGTTTCTAGCGCGTAGGCCTAGAGGTAGCTGCTAGAGCATATTCTACAGCCTAGCCTAGGTAAGAGCGTTTTTAACGTTCTTTACCTATCTACTGTAGTTTATAGAGTCTAGCAGCTTTAGGTGTCCCTCTATTATCTTTAGAGTATGCTTATATCGCTATTTAACGTTCTAAAGCGACGCGCTTGTTAAGGTAGTAGTTTTAGCTATTATAGGCGTTTGCGACGCGTTTAGTTTGCTAATTAGTAGTAAGAGAAGAGAGCTAAGGCCTTAGAGAAAGGCTAAAGAATTAAAGGCAGGTGCGTGTGTTTATAGTAATAAAATTGTAGGTTGTAGTTCTGCTATAGAGGTTGCGCAATAGTTTATAGAACGTAAATTTTAGTGTTACTATTACGCAGAGGCAGCTAGAGCGCTAGCGGCTTCTTCTAAAGCGCGCTAGTAATTTAATCTACTAGAGAAAGCTTTAGGCTTGCGCGCTAACTAGTTAGTCTGCGCTAGAGTAGGCTGCTTAGCTTTTAGTAGGCAGCCGCGCCTCTTGCTAGTAGGTGCTTTTAGCTTAGACTTGCCTAAAGAGCAATAGCTTAAATCTGTTTCCTCTAGTGTGTTAGCGTAGTTACTAAGGTTTAGCTTATCTTTAGTTTTAAGCTGCGCTATATTAAAGTAGCTATACTCTCTTCTTTAATAGAAGCTGCGTTCTTGCGTGCTTAAATCGCTGTTGCTGTTACTATTATTTAATAAGCGACTAGTGTGTTTAGCTGTTAAGAATTTATCTAGATCGCTGCTAGGTAACCTGTTACACAGTGTAATAATAGGTACCTAGCCTAGGCCTGCCTTGCTAGACTTAGAGGCGTTGTAGCTATTTGCGCGGCTAGTAGTGCTGCCTATACTAGTAAATTCTAGCAGCGCGCTAGAAACTTAGGTAACCTGCCTAGTAGCTATGTTAACGTAGTAGGCGTCTCTTACTATAGTGTAGGCAGGCGTTGTAGCGGCTAGTCTAGTAATAGTTTAGAGTAATAGAGAGTAGAATACTCTATTTTAGTTTAAATGTTCTATCTTACTAAGCAGGACTTTTAGCGTAAAATATATATTTAGAAAGGTGCTACTTAGCTAGAATATATTTAAATTCGCAGCTAGAAAGAGCACCTAGGCTTATAACCTATTAGAGAGGGAGGAAGAATTTAAGTAAAAGGATGAATTAGTTTAACCTAGGGGGATCCCCAGACTATATACTCGACACTAGTGGGTCACGTGATCTTTACTTCAATACACCGCACAACACAATGGCCATTACCAACGTCGCCCTCATCGGCGGCACAGGCACGCTCGGCGCACCCGTCCTCAACGCGCTCAAAACCTCCGAGTTCGACATCTTCGTGCTCAACCGCCAAACATCCAAATCCGTCTACCCCAAAACGAAAGTCATCACAGTCCCCGACGACCTGAACGTCGATGGGGTCGCCAAGGTACTGCGAGAGAACAAGATCGACGCCCTCGTCATCACCATCGCAGGAAGCCATGTGGAGTCGCAGAAGAAGCTCATCGATGCCGCGTTCAAGGCCGGCGTGAAGCGCGTCATGCCCGCTGAGTTCGGCAGCTGCGATTCTGCGGATGACAAGACGAATGAGATTCTGCCGCTGATGAAGGGCAAGAAAGACGTTCGGGATTACCTTTTAACATTGGAAGGGAAGGAGCGGGAAGACGGCATGGGGAAGCTTACCTGGACGAGTCTTGTCACAGGCCACTTCTTCGACTGGGGCATGACCTGCGGTCTGCTCAAGTTCGACGTCAAGGCTCGCAAAGCATACATCCTCGACGGCGGCAACATCAAGTTCTCCGCCTCAAACCTGGACTTCATCGGCAAAGCGGTCATCAAGATCCTGGAGAAGCCAGATGAGACCGCGAACAAGATACTCTACGTTCACAGCCACCATGTTACGCAACTCGAGGTTCTTGATGCATTGGAGAAGGCTACAGGCGACAAGTTCGAGCGCATCGATCAGAATAGCAAGGAAGAGCTGGATGTTTCTCGGCCGAAGATGCTGAGTGGAGATGGTGAGGCGAGGGAAGAGGTCGTCGCAGTGTGGGGAGTGGTCGCTGCGGACTGGAAAGAGAAGGAAGGCTTTGCGAATGATCTGCTAGGGCTGCAAGAGGAAGATCTCGATGAGGTCGTACGAAGAGTCGTAGCGGAGTTGTGAACGCGGGTCCGTTGCAGAATAGAGCCGCATGTCTCAACGCGGGCAAGCCAACGATTGTTACGGACGTAATAGTAGTCTACCAATCACGCTAGTCGCGAAACTGCTATCCAGTACTAGTGACACCCGTCTAGTAACAATATGCGGGGGGAATAAACTCCCACAAAACCACGTTACCACGCAACGATGAATCACCATGATGGTTACACCCAAAGTTAAATCGCTCAAAGAGTTCAGATCCAAGAGCGAAGCCCAGAAGACCGCGATGGTTCATGATTAGTCGTTCTTGCGCGGTGTACCAAGATCTACGTCTTCTTGTTAGTCCCAATGCGGTGCATGATTAGCGCGACCCTTACTAACCACTCGGTTGTGATTACTATTCCGAATCACGTGCAACCTACCTAGGTAAACCTACATCGTCGGCATGAACATATCTGGATATTATATAAGCTTCGTAGTATACCCAGTATCTAGAAGACTAACACCGTTGCCTATCATCCCATTTCCCTCGCTCATACCCACCCGTCAACCACAGCAATGCCTCTCTGGATAATCTACCACCCACCCAACACCTTCACCTCCCTCCCCGACAAAACCGCCCTCGCAAACGAAATCACAAAACTCTACACCATCGTCGGCCTCCCTAGATTCTACGTAAACGTCCTCTTCCAGCCCATTCAACCCGAGTCTTTCTTCATCGGCGGCGTACCCCGTCCCTCTCCCATGACTGACGCCAACAAGCCCGGCCGCGATAGCTCAGTCCCCATGATACGAATCAAGATGGAACATCTTGCGAGGCAATTGTACTTAAATCCCACAATCCAACACATAGCATGTGTGGACGTCCAGACTGACTGGAAATAGTACTTCACTCGAGCACAAACACCGCTTTATGGATGCCGTGGATAAGGCGCTGAAACCGTTTATCGCGGATAAAGGGTATGATTGGGAGTATAGTTGTGAAGATGTGGATAGGGATCTGTGGAAGGTGAATGGGATGGTGCCGCCGATGCCGGGGACGGAGGCGGAGAAGGAGTGGGCGGAGAAGAATGTTGCTGTGCCTTTTGAGGCTGCGAAGGGGGGGTTGGCGGGGAAGTTGTGAAGGTTTCTGTTGGGTGCATAGGATGTGATGTGAGCCTAGAGCCTACATTAACGTCACGGCACTAACTTTGCATGTCTTTGTCTTGATGTAGTCTGCAGACGTGTTTAGCTTTTTGTTCTTGTATAAGGTTATAAGACTAGTTTGGTGATGCTACAGTCGTTGAGGTACATGTCGAGCGGGGAAGAAATTTGGTTGCTGTTGTGATGGGAATTGGAATAGAGTAGTTAAGGCAACGAGAAAAGAGGAGTGAAACTTTGCTGGATTAGATGCGGGAGTTCAAGCTGGAGCTTGGTAGACGGAAGGAAAGAGGTGGTAGAACGTGCTCGGGTTGAACGATACGAACTAGAAAGGAATGGGTGTTTTATTCTTTCTCTGGTATTGTGCTTCGGGCATGATGGCGCAGTGCGAGTGAGCATGTCATGATGTTGAAGTCATGGACCGAACGCTCACTGCATTGCGCAACCCACTAAAGGCTGTACAAAACTTATTTTCATTATAAGTTGAAGAGCAGCATAGGTGCGATATGGCAATAAGATGATTCTGAACTCGAATGTTGATGTTGGCCGCGCCTTCCTTCCACGGGTCGCTCTCACCTCACTCGCCAACGAAAAGCGCGTTTGCTCTCACCGCAGCGTATCCACCGTCCCCGACACAATGCCTTACCTTCACCTCGTTTGCAGAGTCTTCACTCACCAGCACCAACCACACGAGCTCCCAGCATGAAGCTCCACATCCTCACCATCGCAGTGATCGCGACACTGGCTTCGACACACGTCCTCCCTCCCAGCGACGACCCCCTCATCAACCTTACCTACTCTGCCAACCTCAAAGACACACCCATAAACTATGTCGCCGCTACATTCGATCCCTCCACCGTCCACACCACCGCCGACCCCCCACCCCCCAACGCGAAATTCGACAAAGCCGTCTCCACCGGCCAAACCCTCGACTCCGCCATGAAATCCAAAGACAACATCGCACGCTGGCTCTTCAAAGACTTCCCCCAGTACGCCGAAACATGCCAGTCCCCCTTCACCGGCGACGGGCGTGCCGACCTCGCGAAATGGGGTTTCGACGACAGTGACGCCCTGAGCGAGAAGATAAAGAACGAGTGCGACTTTGACGCGTATCACAAGATCAAAGCGGCGTTTGACGAGATCGGACTGGATACGAGGGCGGCGAAGGATGGGGGGCCGAATCGGTGTTTCAAGGTTAATCATAGGGATGGGCCGGCGATTAAGAGGGATGAGAAGGGGGAGTTGCCGAATGAGGCGAAGCAGTATTATGATGTGTGCGGAAGGGAATACAGAGTACACTCCACCCTCATTCAGCCGCCATGAAGACCGAGGCTAACACCCCCACCCCAGGCCACAGGCGCATCCTACGAATTCGCCGCCAACCCCTCCGGCCTCCTCGCCCTCATGAACATCATGTCCATGACCTACTCCGCAAAAACATACACCTGGTTCCGCACGCCCCTGCCCTCTGAACTGCCCGACATAGGCACGACGCAGGATATCGGGTGGGCCATGTGGAACCGCGTGGGCGCAGCGAATCTGGCTGGACTCAAGTATCTGCTTGTGACGCAGGTGATGAATGCGGGGAGTAGGGAGATCTTTCGGCATGCGTTGGGGTTGCTGGACCCGCCGGAGAGTGAGTATAAGTTGTGGCCGGGGCATGAGTTTTTGATGGATGGGAAGGGGAAGGGGGGGAAGGGGGGGTTGGCTATACTGGGTATGTTTGACTACTTCGCTTCTTGTATGAGGTCGGAGGAAGAAACGCGGGCTAACGAGACAACAGGTTCACCAGTAGGGCGATGGGCGGGCTATCTCTTGCTCCAGCACAAGGACCAGCTTGGCGGAAACAGGTACATCGAGAAGGTGCGGCTGTTCAAACCGCCAGGGGCGAGTTTGCCGTACCTTCTCTTCTATGTGGCGAAGGATCCGTGGGTTGGTGAGGTTAAACCGGTATCTGCGAAGATGGTGAGCGGGATGAACATCACAAATGCGTTGGAGATGGACGATGATTCCAAGAATGTTGTGAGGAGAGAGGATGAAAAGAACCTCATCAGACAGCATGTTGTCGTTGTCCGAACCTAGGATGTTGCAACGAGGAGAGAATCGGTGAGTGTACGATGGGTGCAATGGCTTCCGAAAGCATCTGAGACGAGGCAGTTGTACTATCTGCTTCATAGATCTTCAGACGCACCAGTCGACCAGATACAAGAAAGACTGCCACACAGACTCACACAATGGCATTACGTGAGCATGTAGTAGACGAGACCTCCACCACCTCCCCTCCGCCTCCCCCCCGCCTCCCCCACCCACCCAGGTGGATGAGAAGAACCTCATCAGGAAGCATGTTGTCGTTGTCCGAACCTAGGATGTTGCAACGAAGAGAAGAGAAGTGAGTGTAAGATGGCTTTTGCTAGCCTCGAAGACGAGAAAAGTTGTACTAGCTCTTAAGATTTCTGTAGACGCAGCAGTCCACCAAATCCAACTCGAACAAACACATACATCTACACAAAATCAAAAACATCCCCCTTATCCCCCACCATCCTCCCCACCCTCTTCCCCCCCACAATCCTCTCCAACTCCATCCTCTCCCACCGCGAAAAACACACCTTGACACTCGCTTCCGCGCGACTGATCTCCGCCCTCTCAATGCTCTTCCCCACGAATCCCACAACCTCGTCGTAGAACACCGGGTTTTCAGGCACACCGTAGAATACTACGCGCTTCACACCCCTAATATTGTAGCGGTGGAAATGGTGGGCGCGGCCGGTGTAGAGGAGGAGGGAATGCTTGCCATTCATGAAATGACTACGTGCCTTGCGGACATCGGTGGCATCGGTGTACTCGCTAATAGATGCGTATGCGATATCTGAATCGACGAGGGAGTTGCGGACGCGGACGAAATCTAGGTAGGAAGGTATGAACACCAACACACCCAACCCGCCATCTGGGCTTTTAGGTAACCGACTAATACCCGGCAGGACCGAGTTCGTGAAGAATTTAAACCGTGCATCCGGGTCCGTGAGGTGCGATGGGGAGTCGAACCTCGTGAACGTCTGTTTTATACCCCAGGACAGTGACTCGATAAGTCCGGCTGTGTGGTCCGGAGTGTATTTCAGGCGGCCGGCGTAGTTGCGCATGTGTTTGTTAAACAGGGTGTTTATCTTTGGTGTTAGGAATGCGGAAAGGATGATCGTCTGCCTGAACACCGGCGCATGCCCATCTAAATACCAACTCCTCACGCGCGAAAAGTCGCAGCCATGCGCATCTTTCGGTTGGAGATTCAAGTGCTCGAACACGTATTCTGCGTGTTCCCAATTTTGCATCAAGGCGGCGTCGGCTTGTTCCATAATCACCATTTCGATGGAGGAGAGGAAATCCGAATCGCGTTTCTTGGGGTCGCCGGTCTCGATGGCGCGCCGCAGACCGAGGGTGGAGGCGAAGATGATGTCTGAGTTGTAGAATGTGGAGTAGAATTTGAGCGTTTTCCGCGTAAGTTTTACGCCGATGCGGAATTCATTGTCGTCGTTTCCTTCGAAGAGTTCGCGGAAGTCGGCGGGGCGGTCCGGTGAGAATTTTTCTTCGGGTAAGGAGAAGGAGTCTAGGAAGCGTTTTTTGTTTTCTTGTTGCTCGAAGGTGTGGAGGGAGGTTAGGGAGTCGAGGACGCGGACGCAGGCTTGTTTCGTCTCGAGGAGAAAGAGGATCTTGGGACGTGTGAAACCTTGGTCGCGGTATTCGATGGAGGGGTCGGAGGAGTCTTTGGATGTGGATAGTTTGGCGTTGTTTTTGAGGACGCGGTCGCGGGTCGTGAGGATGTGGTTGAGGGCGTGCAGACAGGTTATGTCGCGGAGACGGCTGGCGTTTTGAACTGTTCTTGCGCCGAAGAGTAGGTCTTGGTAGCCGAATATGGAGGGTGCGATGGCTTGTTCGAGCTCATCGAAAGCGCCGACCTTCTTCTGTGCGTTTTCAACAAGTCGCGCTTTCAACTGGACGTCGCGTACGCTTCGCAGCTTCCGGTTCGGCTTGACCTCGTCGCTGGGAACCTGGAGTATGCCGACGCCCTTTCCGGACGCTCGATCCAGCTTCTGTGATGTCCACTGGTTGGCTGCTATCCGCTTGAGTCGCGTGGCTAGTTCGTTCTCGTCGGGGTTCGCAAAGTGTTTCTGGTAGGCCTGCTCGAGCTCCTGCTCTTCCTGGTCTTCATCGTCCACGTCTTCTTCATGATCAACCTCTGCCTGCTCGTCCTCCGCCTCGTCGCCTTCCAGGGTGGTCGATTCAGCGTCGTCATCCAACTCGACCTCCTGTTCAGGCTCGTCGTGCTCCAGCTTCCGCCTCTTCTTGCGATGCTCTTCCGAGCCAGTGCTGCGCGACGAGAAAGACTGCAGCAGAGTCGCATAGGCGTTCGAGATGGGTTGCGCTTCTTCTTCCTCTTCGTCCGAGACATCGTCTTCTGATACGTCGGATTCGCTCTCGTCGGATGGGGTGGGTTCGCGCATGGGCATGTTTCTGGTTCTGTTAGGATTGGACGTATGCGCCCGCGACCAATATCCGTACTCACGAATCTTCGACCTCGTCTCGTGTTCTCGCTGCGGCAAATCCGCCTCTGCTTCCACCTCTTCCACGACCTCTCATGCCGCCTCTGCCTCTTCCCATTCCGCCGCCTCTGCCGCCTCTACTGCCGCCCCTTGCTCCTTCACGAGATCCGCCTCGTCCTCTCATTGGCGCCATGTCGGTTGCGCTATGCGCCGATGTGAAGGGAGCTTGATGCAAGGTGCAGGTCTTTTCGCAATGACTAGTGGGGGTGGGTAGAAGTTGCGACCACCTCTTGTGCAGAGAGAAAAGTGAAGTGTATGGATGTGGGAGGTAGTATCGTCCCGTTGAGACACTTCGTAGGTTAACTCCGCGCCGCGAAAAAGTTCAGATGGTCCGTGCAAGCGAACGCACCCTGCCCAGATTTCGTGAAGAATATCGCTGCGTGCCCCACCAACCACATTTGACGTCTCCGAGCGCCTCACCACCACGCCCACCAAACAAGAACCTATCGCCATCACCACCGCCACCATGGCCGAGAACGACTCCTTCCTGCATCTGGCGCGCCCGCTCGGCCCCGCCTCCATGGGCACCCAGCCGTCGACTGCCCCGCTGAACGTCGCCATCCAGCCCCAGGTATGCGACAAGCCACGGTCGAGGCTGCCTGCTCTACTCTCTGACACGCACTGCTAGGCCGTCTTCTCCATCCTCGATCACTCCCTCCGCCGGCCCGCCGAGCAAGAGCGCGTCATCGGCACCCTCCTCGGCACCCGCAGCGAAGACGGCACCGAGATCGAGATCCGCAACTGCTATGCCGTCCCCCACACCGAGACGCAAGAGCAGGTCGAGGTCGACATGGACTACCAGAAGCAGATGCTCGCCCTGCACCTGCGCGCCAACCCCCGCGAAGTCCTCGTCGGCTGGTACGCGACCAGCAGCGACCTCAACACCTTCTCCGCCCTCATCCAGAACTTCTACAGCCAGCAAGGCGACGGCACATGGCCACACCCCGCCGTCCACCTGACTGTTTCCACCGTCCCCGGCCAGGAGATCGAGTCCAAGACGTACATCTCCGCCCCCATTGGCGTCACCGCCGAGCGCGCCGCCGACTCGTGCCTCTTCATCCCCGTGCCCCACGAGATCAAGTACGGCGAGGCCGAGCGGTCGGGCCTGGAGCTCATCTCGTCCGCCAAGGACCGCGAGGACCGATCGCAGGACGTCATGACCGACCTCGACTCGCTGGAGACGGCCATCACACACGTCCTGGACATGCTCGAGCGCGTCTCCAACTACGTTAACAACGTGCTGGACGAGGAGGCCGAGCCATCGTCCGCGCTGGGCCAGTTCCTGATGAACGCACTCAGCCTGGCACCCAAGGTCGAGCCCGCCGACATTGAGCGCGACTTGTACGTCAGAATTATCCATACTTTCAGACATATGCTAACATACCCAGCAACGCACACATCCAAGACGTCCTCGTCGTATCATACCTCGCCAACACCATCCGCACACAAATCGACCTCTCGAACCGTCTCGCGACCGCTGCGCTCACCATGGGCGGCGGCGACCCTCTTGCGGGCGACGGCAAGAAGGACGGCGACAACAGGGGCAAGGGCGGCGACCGACGAGGCGGCGGCAAGGGCAGGCAACAAAGAGAGCAGGAGGCATGAATGGGATAAAAGGCACACTGCATGGAGTTTGGCGTTCTAGTGACATGCCACTGCTAACGCAGTAAGCGCGACATTGCGCGACATGACGTTCTGGGACCAGCGTTATAGGGAAGAAGATAGGTTCGGGGTCAGACAATGGTCGCGAGGGCTATGATGAGAGACAATGTGATCAGGGGGGTGATTTACTCGTGAGCGAGCGAGCGAGTTAGAGTCTGTCCGAGAAGCGCTGTATAACTACTACATTTATCCCCGCGGTAGCATTGACGGCATTTCGGCCACATGCATGAAAAGTCATGAAATGAACAAGATCAAACGGATGGGGTTGTACGTATGATTTTATTTCTTGATTCCCAATGACCGAATCAGACAAGGTTTGTCGCTATTTACAATTAAGTGCACCATGATAGAAACACCATGATAGAAAAGCAGGCATGCACCTCGGAGTTGAAACTTCGAGATATGAAGCGAAAGGAAAGTGCATCAGATTGACACCTGATAGAACGCGAAAGGAAGATGCACCATGATGGAGACCACGATAGAGCGCGAAAGGAAAGTGCACCGTGATGAAGACCACGATAGAATGGAGTGCACCAGATATACATCTGATAGAGCGCGAAACCGAAATGCACCGTGATAGAAACCACGATAGAACAGAGTGCACCGTGATACACACCACGATATGAAGCGAAAGGAAAAGTGCACCAGATCGAGATCCGATAGAACGCAGTAAAACCATGCTCCGTGCATTCATTAGCCACACAAGCCGCTTGCCATTTCGCCGTCTGCGATAGCCCAATTTTCCATTTTCTGTCTTGGGGTTAGCATCGCTGGTTTGAGAAAGTGTCCTAGGGGTTTATACTTACGTCAAGGTTCAATGGCCGCGGTGTAAGGCGGTTGTGATTGTTTTGTCGATTTGGGTCAGTCGGTTCAAGTACTTTCTTCATGACGACGGCGTTGCACTTGCTCAGATCAGTGAGCGAGAGCCAGTGCCCGTGCCAGGACAATGTTGTTGAGGACGGTTGGCGATGCGAGTACGATTCGTAGTGTCAAGGTGATGGCGTCAGCAACTCCATGGTGTGAGCCAAGTCAAAGTGTCACCAACGTCGTGGCGTCAATGTATCGTGGAGTCGACAAGGCCGTGTTATCGATTCAAGATCACTTCAATCGTGCTCCGTATGCGGCAACGATAGCTGTGCGCCGTCGCCCGACGCCTTTTGTTGCCATGTATGCTCTCGGGCGCGCAATGCTAACAATTCCGCTTGATCGATTTGCTATTGCGAGTGCGAAGCTCGCAGAGAAGTCAATTCGTTCATGTGCTTTTGCAGTTCCGTTTCTTTCGTTGCAAGGGCAGCAAGGGCAGTGTCTCGCTGGCCTTTGATCACGTTAGCGTGATGCTGAGAGCAGTTTGCGGAATGGTAGCTCACCTTCGACGTCGCTGACCCGTTTCTTCAATTCATTGACACGCTTGAGGCCTTCCTTCATAACCCGCCACTCTTTGGCGACCTCGTTGTGCCTGCGGATCAGCCCTGGTGCTTTGTTGGCGATGAAGTTCTCGAGGCGAGCAATTGCGCGTTCGTCGTCTATTATTTGTTGCGTTTTTTGGGGAGGGCATTGAGGAGGCAATGCACAGGCCATGGCAATTATGGCGTCTACTTCTGCGGGCGTGAGTGTCATGGTGCGTGATGTTGTGGTTGTGATTGTGATTGTGGTTTGTTGTTGAGGAGTGAAGGTTGGGTAAAGCAGGTACGAGGATGGCAGGCCAGCGTTCACCAATGCGTCATCGTCGCTCCCATCTGAGCTCCATGGCACCTTCCACAAGACTCCTGCGACCACCGCACTTACGCTGCTGCTGCCAGCATGGTACGTCGGACGACTGACATTCCGCCACCACATCTGTTTGCATCACCTGTCACACGCATTAGAAGAACGTGGTAATACAGCCATGATTTCTTCACTTCACTCGACACGGTCGAGACACTCATGGCGCGGCGTGTTTTTGGAGATGCCCGCGTTAGAGCCCCACACCTGATCATTACATTCTCCAAACTTATGGGACATGAAATCTACGACGACGTCCGCGAGACCTTGCAAGGGAACCCATGCACCGGATGCGCAGCTCCCAGCGGCACTTGATACGCCCTCTCCCCAAACACCGTCTTGATGCCACTCGCAGGATGCAGCCGATCCCACTCCTCATACATGTCATGTACATCAAACTCGCGGACCGTCATTGCTAAAGTGATCTTGATATCCAGCATTGCCAGCGTCTGGCCAACGCAATTCCTCGGCCCAAATTCAAACGGCCGCCATCCTCCTTTAGGTGGGTACAGAGGGTGACCGGGCTCGACGAGCCAACGCTCGGGTAAAAAGGCGTGAGGTTCGGGCCAGTAGTTTGGGTTCCTCTGGATTGCGCCGTGGACGACCCAGATGTTGATGTCTTCGGTGGGGTATTTGTTGCCGTTCTTGTCGCGCAGGAAGACGCCTGGAAGACCGCCTCGCATGCCTGAAGCGGGTGGAAACAGGCGAAGAGTCTCCTTGACTACCGCGTTCATATAAGGCAGCTTATTGATCTGCTCTGGATGCTTCTTGAGCACACCGACAGCCGTATCGTTTCCCATGCCAAAGACCTCGTCGAGCTCTGCACGAGCTTTAGCCAGGGCTTCTGGGTACTTCGACAGCATGTATAGACTGTACACAATAGTAGCAGCAGTCGAATCGTGTCCAGCGAACAGGAACAGCCGAATCTGAACCGTCGCCCACCGCTTGAACTCAGGGTCCAGCTTTGGCGCTCCTTTGCGCTCGCCCATGTACGCGGCTATTGTGATATCCATGACAGACTTGGCGCGGGTGGACGGCTTGTTGCTCCTCCAATCTTCATATCGCTTGTCGAGCTCCGTGCTGATATAGCGATCCATCGTTTTGCCGTTTCGCCATTCGATCCAGGGACGGTACGGGTTCCAGCGCTTAAACGGATTCATCTCTTGGTCCCGGCAGTTCCATTCTATGGAGCTACGCATTGCTGCTGCAAGGGCGTTGTGGCTGGTCATGGAGTGGAGACGTGCGTTACTGGTTGTTGTTAGTACCTGTGACACACGTGACGGTCTGTTGGTATGCCTACATGGTGATGGCACCGATGAGATCCATCATATAATCACACGTCAATCGATCCAGCGAAAACGTATCCCCCTTCTTCGCATGCTCTCTTAGCAATCCCACATAAACTTCGGCTTCGTCGATGATATGCGACGTGCTCTCCATCATAACCCTATCACTAAACCCCGGGTTAAACAGCGCCCTCGACCTCTTCCACTCCGCGCCGTTCATATCGAAAAGATTCGCGCCTCCCGCGAACGGCGCAAAGAATGGAATCAGAATGGGCGGCTTGGGCAGATCGTATTCCTGACACGCTTGCATTGCCATCTCGGGCGACGTGACTATCATGAGTGGACTAGTAAACGGCCAGAGATCGACGTAGAAGCAGTTGTCGGAGTCGGGGAAGGAGTTTGAGAGTAGAGTAAAGGCATCGGATTGCTGGGAGTTTTCGGGGAACTGTTTGAGAAGGCCTGGTATTACTCTCATGTTTCCGGTTGCGAAGTCCCATGCTGGGATTGGCTTTGGGGAGTGGGATGTTAGCTCATGGGTTGTGGTGTGTTTGGAGAGGGCTGCGTACCATGCCCTGCTTTTTGAGCCTGTAGAAGATCATGCGCATCTTCACCAACTTGAACATGAAAACAGCAATGGCGGCAGTCGCTGCAGATAGCGCGACCTGCCATGCTACGCGCTTCAAGTCTATTGACTCCATGGTACGCTGCCTCTGAGACGACGTCGTGTCCCTGCGGCACGCTTCGGGGCGTAGAAGTCGTAAGCTTGTCGCTACGTTGCTAGCGATCACCACGGGGCGTAAAACATCTCAAAGTCGAACAAGAATGAAGAGGATAGGGGTATATTGATGTCACGTTTCGCAACGGCCTGGCAATCGCTTTTGTAGCCCGTCGCAATCGTAGCCATATCGGTGGTCGCGCGGTGCTACCTGGCTAGCGCTCACCGCGCTGAAGCGAAAACCAACGGGGCGTAGCGGCCCAGGCTGCCACCGGCTGTTCTTGCGCTACTGGCTATCAATCAGAACGCTCCGCATCCCTCGCTGCATCCTTCGCGGGGTGCCTTGCAGACGAGGCCACCAGCCCTACGAAAAAACTACTCGCTAATGCCTGTCTATGCTTGATTTCACTTCCGCCCATTTCTTCACCACCGCTGCCTTCTCCGCATCACTCGCACCGCGGAACGCAACCGCAGATCGGCGCAGCTGGATAAAGAAAATCTCCGCCTGCAGCGCAGTGAGATGCCGAGCCAAGAGGCCCCTCTCGACGCCTTTCAGGAAGTATCCTGGCAGGCCAAAGACCGCTGACAGTTGTTAGATAAGCGGATAAGCGGAATATTCGGAACCCGAACTTACCGGCTCCCAAATGGAGATATAGCCCAGCCAAACCTCGCCCAATTCCTTTGCCAAAGCCCATGGCGCCTTCTTGTTTCGCGCCGAGATAGGGGTGGCGGACGATGCCTACAACTGCGTCGCTGAGGCCGAGCACGAATTCCTTGCCGGCGAGCTTGCAGCCGCTACCAAACCCGGTGATTTCGTCTCTTTGTCGCGCGGGGTCGTTGTGGATTGCGTATGAGGGTAGGTTCCGGAAGCCGTTTGCGATGTTGTAGAAGAAGGCGACTGGGGTTTTGGCTCCTGTAGCCGCAAGATCACCAACGTAATGCGCGGTAGCGCTTGTGATTTGGTAGCCACGGCCTCCTCTTGCTCTCCTCGCAGCAATCTTCTCGCGAAGAGCTGATATCCCCGGGCGGTTTTGAGGCTTCTCGAAGTTGTGTGTGTAGTCGTCATCACATGACTTGGCCGCCATTCTGTACGCCAGGTGATGGAAGTGTTTGGATGTGATGCCCTTTTCCAAGTCTGGCTCGTCAACGGTTGGTACTCTCCTCAAGGTTTCGACGTCGGAGTCCGTCTCGCGTGGTCTCTTCTTCAGCCGCTGCGAGAACTCAGCAGTATCTGTGCCTAGAGAAGACATGAGTCCTCCGAAAGCAGCGACCACACCGGTTAATGGCCCTTCAGCTCCCTCGTGGGTGTAGTAATGCCGATGTTGCAGCAAACGCAAGTGCTTCAGATCCAACAGTCTTTCTTGAACAAGCACGGAGGCTGCGAAGCCACTGAGATGTGCGCCAGTCTCTTTGTCACGCCAGATAGCGAGGCGATCTGGGCAGATATGACACCGCATTCCATCAATGCCGAGTTTCTGCTGGAAGTCGCGCACAGTATCACCGGCGCCGTCTTCCTCTGCGATACTCTCGGCCATCTTCTGGACAGCGCCCTTGACCGAATCTTGGAGCGCAAAGGTAATGCTTGTCGCAAGGCTCTCGGCAGTCATCTGCTTGAACGGCACGGGCATGGGACCAGCTCCAGCCTTTGCGATCATCTATCGTATCGTTAGGTCGGCTCAGTCGTGTCTCAACGCTGACTTACCTGTCCCCAAAAGGGTTGGTCACCGAAGAAGGGCACAACAACCGTAGGCCTACCCAAGGCAATACCAGCAGCCGTCGTACCCGCACCTCCGTGATGGACCACACACGAAACCCGTTGGAAGAGCCAGTCGTGCGGACAATTGCCGATGAGGTACACATCATCCGGCACATCACCCGCACCCACACCGCCCCAGCCCTTGGAGACTATCGCTCTGACTTTTGCTAACTTCACAGCGTCAAAGATGAGCTTGGTGAGAGCCACTGGGTCATCCACCACTATGCTGCCAAAACCAATGTACACCGGAGGAGGGCCTTTCGCAAGAAATTCGGCCAAGTCGTCCGGCGGCGTGTAATTTGACCCAGCATCCAAGAACGAGAAACCGGTAATGCTGATGTGTGAGTCCCAGTCAGCTGGCCGAGGGATCAAAGCCTGTGACCATAGGTAGCTATATGGGACGCGAAGTCTCGAAAGCAAGAGATGACCCCAGAGCGGGCTAATAGCGTCTAGGTGCAAGGTCTGCGTCCTGAACTTGTTGATGACATCGCCTAAACCCTGCCAAGTGAGCAGCTCCATGATGCCAAAGCTGAAGTAGTTCGCGACGGACCTCTCAACTTCGCCATATTCCATGGCTGCTAGCGGGTGGTGGAAAGCCTTTGTTGGCGACCACGGCATAGTGAAGACCATGTGCAGCGGGATGCCAAGCTTCTCTGCGCAGTGGATGTGGCCCATGGACGGCGGGTTCGCAATGATGCAATCTGCGATGAACAAATCTTCAGGCGCGTCTACGTCCAACGCTGAAACTCTCTCGCCCATGCCATCACCCGCCTCGATGCAACTTCTCCAGGTCCCCTCCATCATCTCGGCCATCTCTTTTCGTCGCTTGCCAATGTCACCGGCTTTGATGGACTGCATGTTTGGAATCAGCCCTGGGTTCTTCACCATGTAGGCCATGAGTGCTTCGGGGTCGCCTCCGATGGAGAAGAACTCCACCCCGTTGCTTTCCACAAAGTCCTTGAAGGCGGGATGCGTGCAGATGCGCACTCGGTGGTGATGTGGAGCAGCCTGGAGCAGCTTCGCAATTGGAATGAAAGGCTGCACATCGCCGCGAGACCCGCAGATATGTATTGCGATGTTCAGTCGCGGTGCGCCGATACTGCTTGTCTTGTCGCTGATGAACTCATCCACCAGCGTCGTGCTTCCTCTTCGCGGTTTTGCGCATCCCGGCGGTCGGCATGCCGCGGAATCTTTCTGGAGCTTGTCGAACCAGTATTTCAGATGCGTCGTGTTCCTGTGGAATTGTATGGCGACCTGGCCGAACGTGTTGACTCTTCCGGTACTTTGCGCTTTCCCGTCATGGTACTCGCCGCGCTTCTGTCTGGAGCTGAAGTTGAGAGGCATTGCGATACCGGCTGCACGCGGAAGCTACATCGGGCTCCCGATGGATTATAGGAAGATTAGACGAATGACGGGCATCAACATCTTCCAACTGTTGGTCTTGGTACGAGTAATCAGTCTTTCCGGGTTGCCTCTAGCACACGCTTACACCTCTTACTTGATCGGCTCGCAATCTGCAGGTCGCGGATCTTCTGCGGCGAAGCGGGCCAATCCACGGCGTGTTGCCCATGCCGCGCCGCCGATCATCCGCGCCCAACGAACTTTCGCACGAACAGATTGTGCTCGGCCGTGTCTATCTCGATAGTCTGGACCGGAATCTCAGGACTTCGCGTGGCGGCGCCATGATCGTCCGTGTTGTTACGCCTATCACAGTTGGACCGAGGGCAGCATACATAGGCGTCACCGTCTCTACTCCCGAGTAGCTCAACGGCGAGACTCCGAGCGCAGGTTCAGTGACATGTGAAGCAAAAGCACCCACTCCATCATTACCCTCGACTTGGACGTCCGAATTTGCTTTCGCATACGACGACGGCTGCGCATACATATCCAGCCATGGCCGACGATCAAGAGAAGGGCATCATTGGGCGGGCGCGCGGGATGTCGCTGTCGTTGCTGCACACGACACCGCAGCTGGGCATGTGGCAGGCCACTGCGACGGCAATGGCTCAAGCGCCCAACTTGACAGAGTTGCGAGAGCCAGAGTCGGGAGGGTCAAACATCACGTTCGATGCGCATGGCCATGCCACTCGAGTAGCGGTCCCAGACGAAGACGGAGAGCTCACCTTGGTCAAATCCCAGACTAGGATCTTTGACCAGCCAGCCACAGACGCGATGGTGCCGGGAGAGGTAGACGAGAAGACTGGGAAGAAGTCGCGCAGGCCTCATGGGCATGGCCTCCACCGTCGACGAACGTTGAAGGAGAAGCACGCGTCTGCGGACAAGGAGCCATGGGGCCCTACCATCAAGCATGGTCTGAAAGCCTTCTGGGTCTTCTTCCTCACACCCTCCGGCTTCCTAATCACCATCTACGGTCTCAACATCGTCGTACGTACGCGCCCGCCCCATTAATGCCCCCTTACACTAACACTCGAAGGCCTGGGGCGCAATGCTCTTCTTCCTTCTCCTCAACGCCGCGCCCGCCATGTGCCACCCCAGCTGCGACGACGACTACAGCTCCCGCAAGATCTGGCTCGAAATCGACAGCCAGATCCTCAACGCCCTCTTCTGCGTCACCGGCTTCGGCCTCGCCCCCTGGCGCTTCCGCGACTTTTACTGGATGCTCCGCGCCGTCCACTTCCACGACTCAAACGCCATGCGCCGGCTCTGGAACCAGAATAAAGCTTGGTTCCGACCGCCGGCCTGGTTCACGGAGAACGAGGGCTGGAGGGGCGAGGAGGAGTTGATGCCGCAGACGTTTACGGGGGAGAGGGCGCCGCCGACGCAGATGTGGAAACTGGCGTTTACGGTTGATATGATGGTTTTGAATACGCTGTTGCAGACTGTGCTTTGCTTTTTTATGTGGCATTATGATCGCTTGGATAGGCCGACGTGGGCGACGGGCACGTTTATTGCGTTGGGGTGTGGGGTTGCGATGTTTGCGGGGGTTATGAGTTGGTGGGAGGGGAGGAAGGTTAAGAAGATTGAGGGGCCTGAGATTAAGATTGAGACGAAGGCGGAGGATGTGGAGAGTGGGTAGGGTGAGAGATTCGCTTGTCTGGGCTATTCGGTTATTACATGTGTTCACTCCAGTGTATTTGGGTCGTCAGTTCCTACGCTGGTGGTGCTTCTCATTCAAGACGAGCTGATTGGTTAGGTGTGGCGTGGATTTCAGAAGTCGTGAGTTGCTCATCTGCTCCGCGTCACCGCGTCACCGCACCTCATTTCGGCCGCATCTCCAACTCGCACTCCGCGTGAGACTCATTCATCACTGGTGGCGGGATCGGCCTTAGATTTCTCTTGCCCTTTTACTTAGGCGGCGGCGGCGCAGCATGGCTGAGTACTCTCTGTCACGAAGATGCTTACCGGTGCGGGGCACCTACATGTGCGTTCCATGCGATGCGGCACAGCAATGCATGCATCTCAGCCTCGACGAGGCGGAGCAACAAGAAGGCTGCACACTCGGACTTTTCAAATTACTTGTCATTCCTCACAATAACCGTGAGACACCTGGCGCAGTTTCCACGGCTTCACCACCATGGCAGAAATCATCGGATTGGCAGCTTCCCTCATCACTCTGGCAGGCGCGAGCGCGCAACTAGCCAGAACGCTGCTTGAAGTCGCCAATGTTATCAAATCCGCTGAATATGAGGCTAGGCTCATCGCCGCAGACATTTCTGTCTTCTCAAGCTCACTTACGCAATTGAGTATGGTCGTGGATCTGCCACACTCGAAGACGGAGAAGCTTCGCGAGATCACTGTCGTCTTGATCTCTGCATGTCGAACTCTTATCGAAGACCTGAGGATGCTCATCGGAGAGCCAGTCCAACATGATCCTTCACGACGCGCTTTCACCATCTCGCTCATACGGTTCCGATTCAGGTGGATGAAAGTTGGTCCCAAGGTTATGTTTGTCAAGAGCTTGGTGGATTCATTCAAGACCACCATCATCGTCCTTGTTTCTACCATGAACTTGGCTGTCGTACTGCAGCGAGATGCCCCGGATTCTATCAGGTAGGCCGTACAAGATTGTAATAGCAGTATCATGCTGACGTTTATACAGCGAGAGTCTAAAAACACAGGTTGAGAGCAACATCAAGTTTGCGGAAGACGCTACGGAGTGTCTGCATCATCATAGAGATGCCCAGCAAGACGACGCTTCTTCCTGTACACTCACTCTGGACTTCAGCGCTGCAATAGAGGCTGAAGACGCGACACCCGGTGCGGGTGCAGAGTTGATTGTACGTGGTGCAGCACAACAAGGTATTACGAAAAGGCACGACTCAACCATCTTCCAGAACGGGGAATTCGACGAGGATGACTGCGCCCTTCAGGCATCTCAGAAATGTACACAAATTGTCGAGATGCAGCAAATGTCTTGCGCGTTGGCCAGAGATGTGCTAGACCATCAGAGTCTGAAACCGACGTGGAGCTGGAATGCGAGTGAGAAGATGTCTGCACATGAGGAACCCCAGCCCTTTCCTACAAGCGAAGATAGCTATTCGACAGCGGGATCTGAAACTTATGAAAGAACACCGTCTAAGGAAAAAGGCGGAGAGTCGGTACGCCACCACGAGCCACAAGAACGCCGGATTCCCCTCGGGGAGTTATTGGAACAGATGCGAACTCCGGACTCCAAGGTGAAATGGATCAGCAATTCGAGTGTCGATGCTGGTGTGCACCGACAGAAGTCGTTCGAGCGCAAGGACGAAGAGGCGGTACGCGATAGTAGTTCACGGCAACACGTTTCACGCGATGAAAAGGATAGAATCGATAGATTGGAGAATTTGCTTGTCGAGAAGGAAAAGGCAGAGAAGGAAGCTGCTGAAACGGCGAGGGCAAAGACGGAAAGCAGTAAATTCGATAGGTTAGAGAATCTGCTTATATCCCAACAGGAGGCAAAGATCGAAAAGGAAAAGGCAAAGAAAGAAGCTGCGGAACAAGTGGAGAAAGCCAGAAAGGCACCGATTGTCTTCTACGATGCCATCGATCGCAAGTTCGAATGCCCTTGGCGTTTGTGCAGTAATTGGGGGGTAAGTAGCTACCCAACTTGCTTAGGGTTGTGAAACTGATCGCCTTAGGGAATGCGGGAATTTATCGCAAACATTAGCTCTGGGGTGGCAGTGCTCTCCCAATTAGTCGACAGCGGAGATTACGACCTGGTCAAAGATGATATCGTCATTCCACCGCAACTGTGGGATACTCTGGTTGTTCCTGGATCGACGGTAACAATGCGTGCCAGGAACTTGACCTCACCTCCGATTGACAAGAAAGCTTCATGGTTTCGTAGGTCGATAAGCAAGGGAAGTGGCTAGTATGAGGTAGAGATATTGTTACATCTGCGACTATCAAAGCGGGCGCTAGCAATGACACCCGTCCATCTAAGCTGTCGCGTCCTTCGCTGCCCCTTCACCGTCACTATCACTTCCAACTTCCGGCTCAGAATCCGCTGCTAACACTCAATCTCTGTCATCTTAGCAATACTTGTCCATTCCGCTCTCGCTCCATGTCCCCGCCGTACCCGCAAGTTACGTTTCCCGCTCATCAACCGCAATCTCCCAGCCCACCCTCTCCAAATCCTTCAACACCAGCTCCTCAAACGCTCTACTAGCCATAGAGTGAGGCGTGCTTGCCGGCACCAAATCCTTAAGATGAAAAGAATGTGTGTCCGCCATATTCCGTATCCAACTCACCTGCAGCGCCTTCTTCTCTTCACCCTTTTCCGCCATAGCCAGGAGTTCCAGAATCGAGGCCGATATACCTTCGTTGGCGACCTCAAGGTATATTTCGTATCCCACGTCGAGAAATACGTGGCGTGCCTGGAGGATATTCGGGAAGGCGTACGCCGACTCGTATAATTTGCGTCTTGGAACGGTATGCGCGCACGTGTGATAGTAGTGACGCTCAGCCCGCACTGGTCGTGTGAACTGGGTGTAGCGATAAAACTGCTCCGTAGACTCTGAGAAAATCTGGCGGCTCGTCCATATCCACGAGTACCCTTGTGCGTGTCTAGGTCCCTTGCAGGTGTCTCCGTCCTCTAGTAATGCAAGATCCCATGGCGGTAGCTGTATTAGGCTAGCCTTGTACGCCCCAGTCGATTCATACTCAGCCGTGATGATTGGGCCAAAGGGGATCGTATCCCGCTCCGCGAAGTTCCAAGTTAGCTCCTGGTAGAAGGATATCATCGTGCCGCTCCAGGCATGGTGGTATACCAGGTCGCGGATCTCTCTCGGCAGGCGGAAGAACCGGGCTAGAAGCTGCGTGTGGTGCGTTCTGGCTCTTTGTTTCGATCTTGCTGCTTTGCGCTTTTCGTATGGGAGCAAGGCCTCGATGAGGGATGGCCGTTCTTCTTCGACTTGTTTACTCAGATCAGCCGCGCGGTAATGTGCCGCGTATGCCTTCTCGCGAGCGCGTGCGAGCAGTTGGTCGAGATGGGCTATGCGTCGTCTTATGGCTCTTCTTTCGAACTTTTCGAAGCGGCGTGCAGCCGCACGCTGCTCTCGTGTGGGGGTTTGATCGACGACTACTACCTCCTGTTCATCGGTCTGTTGTTCCAACTCATATTCGTTCATCGTTGCGAGTGCTGTGAGGAGAGATAAGAGATGCGACTGACGAATATGTTGGGTGCAAAGCTTTTCAAGCAGATTGGCGACTGCGACGTTCGCTACCAAACATCCGACACCCACCGCCTTTCCATGGTCCACGTATGACCCAAGGTAAGACGAGCCAACCATGAGCCTGATGATTGCGATCTCTCTCATTTGAGGGGTGCCTTCGCGGATAGGATGGCGATGCATTCCGGGGATCGTGAGTGGCTCATCGCTCGCTCACCGCCATCGCAGTACAAGTGGACGGAGAGGATGGCAGAGAGCCGACCAAAACTTCAGTCGCCAAATACATCGAAGGAGCATAAAGCAGTGAAGGCAAAGGGAATACATAGGTGTCTAGATTTCAAAGACGAAATACCTCCTGCACCTTATCCTGACCAACGTTCCCACATCTCTCTTCAAAAAGCAGATCTTCCACCAAAGTAGACTCATAAGACCAATCCAACTTACCACGCACATCCCACTTTTCTCCTCGCACCTGATCTCCACTTCCTTTCCGCCTGAGCTGAAGCTTCGAGTACATCATGTACGGCTGGCAGCGATCCGAAGCCCCCTCTCGCGAGAGATGAAGAGTAAGCCACTTGAACGCGCCTTGCCCCGACCCCAAAAGACGATCTGCAATACCGGTCGCAGATGCGACAGTACTCTCTTTGTTAAGTTCGGGGTGGGGGATGTTGCCCCAGATATCCTGTACGAGCTTTTCGCTGTAGTCGTTTGCTTCCTGGGGAATGTGCAGCCAGAGATCGAGCTTCGTGAGATTCATGCCTAATAGGGCGACGAGATGTTGCGGGTCGATCTAATGGTACGGTCAGCGCAACTATGATTTGGGAAGGGTGGGCGGGGCTTACGTTGCGGGCGCAGGGTGCGTCCCAGCCTAGATGCTTGAGCCTAGGGAATGTCCGCGCGATGTCCTTCAGACGGCTGAAAGGCATGACAACCTTGTGGCAGTATGCTTCGAATGTCGGCCCAAGGATCAGTGTCTCGAGTGTATCCTTGTGCTGCTCAAGAGCGGGCCAAAGGTTGTCTATACCCGCTTGCGCTCGTGACAGATCGAGATGCTCAAGTCCATCGATCGACTGAATGAACCGCTTCGCAGGCGTTGTATCACCGTCCCATATCCCAAAACTCAATACTTTTAGCTTGGGGCAAAGCCCCGTGAAGCAAGTGAAGAAGTTCTCGGGATGTTCGCCGCCGAAGTCAAGCTTACGCAGTCGGGAAGGGTCGATAGCATCGCGGAGCATGCGACAATAGTCGGGATCCCAGAGATAGGCCGTCTGGCCGTGGTATCTCAACGTCTGAAGAGTCATTTCCTCCAGTAGAGGGAGGCGCATACCTGTGGTGAGATCGAGGCGCGGTATCTTCGCCGGCTCCGTATCGGGTGTGAAAAGGTTGTGGCCGTCTTGCAAAACTTGAAGCCGAAGGGATCTAACGTTTCCGCCAGTTGCCAATGCCTGGGAGAGCCGGGGCCACTCGGATCGGCAAGGGTGCTCGGGAGCGAAGCCCTGCATGTATACCTCGTAGGTCAAGCTGACAAGAAGTGGAGATGACAGGAGCTTCATGTCGATCTGACGATGTGGAATAGTCTTTGCCGTCTTCCGATCCACGACAACGACGCGTATCTCGGGCTTCGGCGACATCGCGTGGATCGTGTCGTACACTGCCGGAGGTATGTGCGCGGAGGTCTCCCAACTATCGGAGTCAGTTCAGTGCTTCCAAAAGTGCGAATCAACGTACTTGAGTGATCGGAGATTTTTATGTCGCGAAATCTTGTTGAGTATCGTAATTAGGTCTTCAGAGGGTACCTCGTCCTTGATGGTGATGCTGCGAATATGCTTCGTGAGATCACTGTGTTCATCCTTGGAGAGCTGCTCCACAAGTGCCTTGTATGCCGTTGACTCTCCATTCAAGATGATGTTGCGGTATATGTATGGCAATGCCGCATCGTGCAAGACTTCAGAAGACTGTGCCACATTGAGTAGGTCTGCGGGTGATGTGTCCGCGATATCGGAGAGAATGAGGTGGTGGATATCATCGGGGACGGCATTGAGACCAGTCGTTTGGCCCGCGACGCCCTGTGACGAAGCAGAAGCGGTGTTGTCAGCGACGACAGTGTTGCGGATTGACATTGTAACCAAGATACGTAACCAGAATACTAGCATGATGATCAATCTGAATAGAGATGCAAAACATCTTTATAGAGCGAGCTGTCCAGGCAGAAATGAAGAGCAGGCGCAGCACACGACGCGGTGCCAGCAGGGCCGAAAAGCCATCACGACAAGATGGGACTCTGGTATGCCTCAGGCATTTCTACGACCGACGATACACGGAACTTGTTGTAGCCTGGTCTAGCCCCAAGGATTTACCGGGAAGGATCTGAAAATGTTACCAAATGCTGTTGATGAACCAGGAAGAGCGTCAGCCTCGCTCCCATTAGGCTGAACAGCTCGAGCTTCACCGCCACGACTGCGCCACGAAGCGGGTTCCTTCACATTACCTAGTCAGACACTGACACTGTAGCGTCGACGCGAAAGTTCGAAGAATCGATATTCCACCATGTCGGCCGTGTGGTGCTGTGTAGTACGCGTAGTGGCGGTGGTTGTTCCGCCAACGCCGTGTTTAGTGCGCGCGGCAATCTTTCCGGTTTCCGAGCGTGCACCCTGGGCGGGCTGCAACTTTGTATACTAGCAGCACCACCAGCACCAGCACCGCCAACTGCACCGCTACGCATTGATACGACTGATACGCTTTCCGACACGTATATATCCAATTCACCTCTTGATTCCTTACGTAACAACCTCATTGGCCAGCTGCCTCCCTCGCACCGACCCTCACGCAACGCCGTCACCTCACCGCACATGCGATAGTCACCGTCACACCACGCCCCGATTGAGATGCTAGGCTTCCGTCCGCTATCCGTGGGCAAGCGGAAAGCCAAGTCGTACAACCAGGCGGCGACCCACGAGCGCGATGTCGAGGACGGCGAAGTCAACGAGAAGGGCTACCAAAGCGACGACTACGAGGCCTACATGTCCTCGGGCACAACGAGCCCATCCTCATCCCGGGAATCCTCGGGCGCATACGACCCGAACCCGAACAACATCGAATCGAGACCGCTGCGACGGTCCTCCAAATCCCACCGGAGAGCCCCTTCGAAAGCCACCGTCAGCGCATACAGCTACCGGAATCCGCGAGCATGCACGAGATACTTCGGGCTGGCCGTGGCGAGTACGCTGCTCTTCTTCATGTACTTCCTCTTCAGCAGCAGCTGGGCCTCGATACGGAATGCAGAGCTCGGCCTGAACAAGCCGCCGCCGCCGCCCAACGTCTGGGAGAGCTTCCCGTTCCTGAAGCGCTACCACGGCGGCGTGCGGTCGCTGGTGAGCCGGGAGAAGAACGTGCCGGAATACCCCACCAAGCAGGACATCGACCCTGAGCTGCCCGCCGAGGAGCCCAAGAGCGACGTCGATAAGCGACAGTCGCAGGGCGCACACATTGCCGAATCGATACCGTTCGACCCGTACCCAGACTACAGCGGCGTCAACTACGTGGATACATACGGGCCGGTCGAGACGTGCTATCTCGATGCGAACGACACCATCAAGGTGCCAGGGCTGCGGGCATACAAGGGCGTACCCCAGGGCATGCCAGATAACGTCATTGGGAGCTACGAGACACTGGGTCTGAGGGACGATGTCTGCTTTGAGCGCTTCGGACGGCTCGGTCCGTATGGCCTCGGCTACAGCAAGCGGCGCGGCGGAACGGGCGCCGGCATGGAGGGCGACCGCGAAGGCATCGAAGACGTGTGGAAGGCGGACGCCGAGGTTGACTTCCGCGACGTCAGCTGGGCGGAGGCAATCGACCGCTGCCTGGAGAAGAACAAGGGCCGCTTTCAGAAGCAACCAAAGTCCCGGACAGACTCGTTTACTATGCAGAGACGCGATGCTGACGACTCTCCCGCAAACGGCACCGTACTACAACCGAAGGCGGCGCACAACACGCTCCTCCCCAGGACCGCAGTCCTCGTCCGAACATGGGACGACTACAACTACGACGACGAAGACATCATGTACCTGCGCGCACTCGTGTCCGAGTTGAGCCTCGCGTCTGGCGGCGAGTACGAAGCCCACTTCCTGATCCAAGTCCACGACGACAACAAGCAGATCTGGGCCGACGAAGCGATCCAACAGGAAGTCCTCAAGAACGCGCTACCTGCTGAGTTTGCCGGTATGGGCACGCTCTGGTCGGAACGTCAGATGGGCTTGATCTATGGGGGTCTGGAGGAGTCCAACTACCGCGGGCTACCTGTACACGGCGTCTATCGCTCCACCTTCATGCCAGTCACGTACTTTGCACACCAGCACCCCGAGTTCGACTTCTTCTGGCACTGGGAGATGGACGTACGGTATACTGGCCACCACTACCATCTCTTCGAACAGGTCTCCAAGTGGACGACCGCCCAGCCGCGCAAAGGGCTGTGGGAGCGCGACGCCCGTTTCTACGTCCCATCCGTCCACGGTACCTGGGAAGAGTTCAAGCAGATGGTGCACTGGCAGACCCAGCACGGCACCAACAACCAAGCCAACAAATGGTCCTCGCATCTCCCACCCAACCCCCACGTCCCCCTCGCCGAAATGCAAAAACCCGAGAAGCCAGTCTGGGGTCCAGAACTCCCCCAAGACTACCCCGACATCGAGATTGACGAGTCTGTGAAACCCAACACAACCATCACAGAAGACAAGTACGAATGGGGCGTTGGCGAACCCGCCGACCTCATCGTCTTCAACCCCCTCTTCGATCCCGACCACACTAACTGGATCCTCGCCGACGACGTCACAGGCTATGACAAGAAGAACGGCCTGCCCCCTCGCCGCACCGCCATCAACACCTCCGGCCGCCTCTCCCGCCGCCTCCTCGAGACCATGCACCGCGAACAGTCGCGCCACCGCCACACCATGTTCTCCGAAATGTGGCCCGCATCCTGTGCCCTGCACCACGGCCTCAAAGCCGTTTACGCACCACATCCTGTGTTTATCGACAGGAAGTGGCCGACGCAATACCTCGCCGCTATCTTCAACAACGGCCGTAATGGCGCGAGTGGCGGCGCTCGCATGTCTGTTTTTAGCGATGAGCGCCAACATAACTTTCTCGGTACGACTTGGTACTATCACGCTGGCTTTGCGCCGAATCTTTGGAAGAGGTGGATGGGGTATAAGGTTGATAACGATGGGGGTGAGGAGTATGAGGTTGCGGGCGAGGGGAGGATGTGTCTTCCGGCTGTGCTGCTGCATCCGGTTAAGCAGGTTGATTTGGTGCAGGAGAAAGTGAGGGTTGAGGAGGGTGAGACGGCGGTGTGAGAAAGCGGAGTGAGAATTGCGCTGAGCTGTTGCGAAGTTCGGGTTGGGATAGCAAGGCGTTGGTATTCGATCTTCACCGGCGTCATGGAGTCGCGTTGGACACGCGCATGTTAATAGCGTTTGATTCTTGTTGTATATGACTAGAGACGATCTCAATTGCCATTCATGTTGGATATGGATATATGAATAGCTATCCGATAGGCTCTCTTTACGTAGCCTTGCTTTTGTACATGTATCAAGGATTTACTTCCTAAGCTGTTAACAGTGCTTTCCACCAAGTCCTTCCCATGCCCCATAGCTTCACCGCACCCCGAGAGCTTCTGGGTGGGTAGTGGAGGCGGAAGGGTAGTGATGAATGTTTCCTAACTCCCCTTCTGCTACCCTCAAATCCGTTTCCTGCTGTGTTCCCTCACACTCAATAACTCCTCGGCAACCCCAGCACCTTCTCCCCAATATAATTCAACACCATCTCCCTACTCACCGGCGCAATCCGCGGGACAAAGCACTCCCTCAAAAACCGCTCCACATCATACTCTGCCGCATACCCCATCCCCCCATGCGCCAGCACCGCCCTCTCACACGCCGCAAACGCCGCCTCACCCGCAAGATACTTGGCGCTATTCGCCGCAACCCCAATCGCATCCTGCCTTATACCCGCATCCGTCCTACTCGCATCGTACAGCCGCGCCGCGTGGTACGTGACATGTTTCGCTGCTTCAAGCTGCATGTACGCGTCCGCGAGCGGGTGCGCGATGCCTTGGTTCATGCCGATGGGGCGTTGGAAGACGTGGCGTGAGTTAGCGTAGGCGGCGGCTTTTGTGAGGGCCGCGTAGCCTAATCCGAGGGCTTCGCCTGCGAGCAGACACCGTTCTGCGTTCATGCCCCCGAGGATTATTTTGAAGCCTTCGCCTTCGCGGCCGACGAGGCATGAAGCGGGGATATGGTAGGCGTCGAAGAAGACTTCGTTTGCGTCGACGGCGCGCCCGCCCATCTTCTTGATGCGGCGCATGTCCAGTCCGGGTGCTGATCGATCAAGCGGGATGCAAAACATACTCAGCGCTTTACTCGGTTTCTCGGCTTCGTCCCGTGGCGTCGTGCGTGCGAGTAGGATCATGCGTGAAGCGACTTGCGCACATGTTATCCATATCTTCTGGCCTGTTATGCTATACCCTTTCCCATCCTCATCTCTCTTCGCAAATGTACTCAACCGCAGCGTATCCAACCCCGAATCCGGTTCCGTAACCCCAAAGCACGTCCGCCACTCCCCCGATATTATCCTCGGTATCGTTTCCTGTAACTGCTCTTCACTCCCATACTTAGCCAACGGCTGCGTCGCATACACATTCGCGTGAATCGCCTGCGCGCCCGCTATCCCGGCCCCGCTCTCCGCTATCGTCTGCATCATCATCGTCGCCTCTGAGATGCCCAACCCAGACCCGCCGTATGCTTCTGGTAATGCGATGCCGAGCCAACCGTCTTTTGCAAGCGCGGCGTGGAAGTCCGAGGGGTCGCTGCTGCTGTCGTCGCGGTCGCGCCAGTAGCTGTTGGGGAAGCGGGAGCAGAGCGCGAAGATGGCGTCGCGGATTTCGAGTTGTGTGGAAGTGAAGCCGGTTGTTTCCATAATGTGGGGGGAAGGGGTGCTGCTGAAGCGGCATCGTTGGGGGTGGATGCGAAGGCGCAAAGCGTTGTGTGCTGGGCGCAAGATGCGCAGTGTGCGCGCTGCCGCTGGGGAGAGCATCATCGGCGTGTGTGGTGTTCACATTGGTGCTGTTGTCGCGTTTACGGCTGTCGCATAACGTTCGTTG